AGTTCAATCCAATAATAAATAAAAAATAAAATATTTGCCATCAGATATTTTAATGCTCTTGATTCAAATTACATAAAGTTGAGTAAAGGCTGGCCAACACGAACATATCACTTGTTGGTGTTGATCCAGTCGGCGTAGGATCGGACCTCTGTATATACAGATGGATATCCTGGTGGACAGTTGGTAGCACCCCATGACGTCACTCCGACAAGTTCCCACTGGTCGCTTTCATTATTTTTACAGACTAAAGGTCCTCCGCTGTCTCCCTGCAACAACAACAATACAGCAAATACGTTATTCCGTAGCATGGTACACATGTAAACCTGCCAATCATCGGTTTGTACTTTCAGACACAGTATATGTCCATGCTGTGATAAAAATAGAGCTGATCGCCGATTAAAGTTAATCGATGGTTTGACAGTTATCAAAACACAACTGGACATTCCCTGTGATAATTGTGACGGTTACGCTTTCTGTTGAAATTTCAAAGGAACAACGGATGACTCGATAAAATAATATACTTGTATATGTACCAAAGAGTCGATTAAGTGTCTTTCAAAATAACTTTGGTAATATATATGTTCATTACTGTTTCCATATTAATCTAACTGACTCACGCAACAATTTTAAAGTTAGGAAATATAAATGTTTTTAATGCGAAATCGTATTGCTTCACAAACCATTCCAAAATGTCTTTATACCACGAGTCTTATCGAGCAATAATTAAATATACTGAACTATAGTTATTTCTTCGTTCGCACATCGTCTGCACACCATGCACACATAATGTCCACAACGCACAACGCACATCGTGTAATAAAATGATTGTCTTATGTACATGTAGTTTTTCTATCAATGAGGTAACTTCATGATAATCGATTAATACTTACGATAATATCACTAAACATCCCTATATGTAACTGAATTCATGTCAACCAATGAACCGCTATTTTGACTGACATCACATTCCACTATATATACCCAATACATACCCACACAATTTACCACTTACATTACAATAACTAATATATAGCCACACATTCAACTACTTACATTACATTACACTAATACATAGTCACACAATTAACCACTTACATTAACTAATATATAGCCACACAGTCAACTTCTTACATTATATTATACTAATATATAGTCAAACAATTAACCACTTACATTACAATAACTAATATATAGCAACACATTCAACTACTTACATTACATTACACTAATATATAGTCACACACAGTGAACCACTTACATTAACTTATATATTTATGATCTATTTGAATGACACAGCTTTGCAAGCAAAGCGCGCATTATGTTGTTTGCTTGCAAAGCTGTGTCATTCAAATAGATCATAAATACCATACAAAAACAGTTCAATACTTATATTTACGTTTTCTCTGCCTCTTATGTTCTTTTTTAACTTATAATTTATATTTAAAATTAAAAATGCCCGCCTTATCGACAGTCCACACAATTTCGTTCAATAGTTTGAACAGCGTATTGTCGCGTGCTGATTGGCGAACAAAGTAGTACTTTGAAATTTTAACAAACACTTCAATTTTATTCCACAATTCAGTATCAATACAATTACGTATGATATGTCTGTATGGTTATTTAAGTTTATCAATAGAACTCTGAGCTGAAACTCTGATTTGAAATTGTTTCCATTTTTTTCCCGGAACAAATTTCGCGCATGGACAAATACAGTGAACACCGTAAATCCGACCTTGCCCTCCACGAGGGAGTTATTTTTGGAAGTTAATTCGAACTTTTCTCTTTGCTCATTTTGTGAAGAATCCAGGCGTGAATTTATTTGTTGATTGTATGGGAACCTGACAACAGTCGGTAGATTCTATAACGGCCTCGTTATTTGACATGTCGTCAGAAATCAGGAACCGTGGATGCGAGACGCGTGAAACTGATAGCGTTTGAAGTGAGTGATCTTGCGACGGAGCACAGGTTCGTTACAAAATGTCTGAAATGTTTATGTGTGCTGTGACTCATATCAGTAGGTCTGTAACATATGTGTCAGTAGGTCTATAGAATATGTGTATTTCAGACATTTGTAACGAACCCATGTTGATCAGTGCAGTGTAACAGACGATATTTCTGATACATTGCATGAGCGTTAAAATTGTTTCCATTGCCGGCATTGGTGATTTCAACCGAGGTGCATTTTGTACGATATTGCAGACCTTGGTCTTGTTTTCGTTGTAATAAAAGTGTTTTTTATTTTATTTTTTATTTTGCACATCAATTTACAATGACATTGTCAAATCTCACAATGCCCAACGATATTTCAGCAGCCGTCATGTTTATTTATATTGGATATTGTAGTTCCGGTCAGTGTTGTATTAATACGCTAAGAATTGTGTCACGTGATGCATGGTAATTAAAGTCCCATCAACGACACATCTTCCAAGGAGGCTATATATTGACAATGCCATGCAAATGTAAATATACTAATATATAGTCACACAATTAACCACTCACATTAACTAATATATTACCACAAAGTCAACTACTTACATTACATTACACTAATATATAGTCACACAGTCAGCTACTTACATTACATTACACTAATATATAGTCACACAATTAACCACTTACATTACATTACACTAATATATAGTCACACAATTAACCACTTACATTAATTAATATATAGCCACACATTCAACTACTAACATAACACTACACTAATATATAGTCACACAATTAACCACTTACATTTCATTTCACTAATATATAGCCACACAATTAACCACTTACATTGCATTACACTAATATATAGCCATTCGCTTACGTTACATGCACTGCGCTCTCCGTCGCCGTAGACACAAACGTGACAAGATCGGCATATGTTGCTCCCCCATTGTCCCTCGCACGCCGAGTCAGTTATAACGCTCATTTCGGCCTCCTGCAGATTGTCCGGAATACTGCTAGCTATGATATTAAACAAAAAGTATACAGAAAAATTTGACATCATAGAATCACGTATTAACACAGTGATACAGCTTTAAATTAACGGACATAATTGCTTTGTAATAAAATTCTTTTCGTTCAGTTTTTAAGAATAATTTTAATGTTAATGATGACCTTGAATTTTGCCAAAATATTGAACCAAATTATTTATTTTAATTGAATTCTGGAGGTGTACTTACTACCGCCGTTAGTGTTACCCCAGCCGGTGATCCTACACAATGCTCCTTCTGCTAGGTCGTCGTTAGAACGCTGTGTCAAACTGATTGGCTGTGCGTTCCCGTTAAAGCTCATTGCTTGTACCTTCATTATTGCGATATCGTTCGGAAATCCTCCAGAGCCAACACCATAGTTTTCATGCTGCCAAGTAAAAATATGTCAACGCTACATATTTTATTAATTATAAATTAAGTTTGGCCTGCTGTATCCAATAAGATGATAGTATGACGCAATTGCTGATGCACTCCCTGTGTCTAACGAGAAAAATCACCAACACCAATCGGTAACCTTCATTTCATTAGGTGATAGTTGATGTTATAGTTTTGTCCTTGAATATGAAACTCGAAAACATACATTTATATGTACAGCTAAATAAATACTACTAGGCATCCGAAAACATATTTTTAAAAGTTATCTATTTTTATCGCCAAATCAAATTGTTCGTTTCAAAACCACTAATTTGATATGTCGTTCACTAACGCGATAACTATCTGTCTTATTTACTAAAAAATTGTTGTCACTCGACATTAGGACTATTTCAAAATATCAAATACTTTTTGTATTGTGTAGAGTCTTATGTATAAACATTGATAAAGGACACGTACCAGCTTGGTAGAAGTAACACTGACACTGTAACCAGTTGCTAATGCTCCACTACCGTACCGTATGCTGTAAGTCCTGTAATAAACATATCGTTATTATCCAACTACCGTTCCGTATGCTGTAAGTCCTATAATAATCATATCAATAGTATCCACTACCGTACCGTATGCTGTAAGTCCTGTAATAATCATATCGTTAGTATCCACTACCGTTCCATATGCTTTAAGTCTTTTAATAAACATATCGATATTATCCACTACCGTACTTATGCTGTAAGTCCTATAATAAACATATCGTTAGCATCCACTACCGTACTTATGCTGAAAGTCCTGTAATAAACATATCAGTATTATCCACTGCCGTACTGTATGCTGTTAGTCTTGTAATAATTATATCGGTATTTTCCACTACCGTACCGTATGCTGTTTGTCCTGTAATAATTATATCGTTATTATCCACTACCATACCGTATGCTGTAAGTCCTATAATAAACATATCGTTAGTATCCACTACCGTACCGTATGCTGTAAGTCCTATAATAAACATATCGTTAGTATCCACTACTGTACCGTATGCTGTAAGTCCTATAATAAACATATCGTTAGTATCCACTACCGTACCGTATGCTGTAAGTACTTTAATAAACATATCGTTATTATCCACTGCCGTACCGTAAGCTGTAAGTCCTATAATAAACATATCGTTATTATCCACTACCGTACCATATGATCTAAGTCCTGTTATAAAAATATCGTTATTATCCACTGTTAACCTTTCATTAACATATTATAAGTATCCACTTCCGTACCGTTCACTGTTAAACGCTATAATTAACATATCATTATTATGTAATCTACACAATTGAAAATTAGATATTACATAAACTTATAGCGAGACACTTCTGGTCCTTATTCCGATTGTAACATTACAAATGTAATCTTTGAATTCTGTGGTTTCCGAAGTATTTATATCATATAACAAAAATAATCGGTGTAGTGTACGTAATAAATAGTGTATACAAAGCATTTGACATTATCTAATCACCTTTAATAGGATTTCTTTCTTTCTGATAATAAAGAAACTCGAATTCGAAAACGCGATAATTTAAAATTGTTTTGTCCTCAATTCACAAAGTGATCATCTTAATTCATATTTAAAAGTGTTATATTATAAATGACAATTCTTACCGAGCAGCATTCCCTAGACAATGGGCAGCGGTCAGGACAGTAGTTTCATCAAGGATGACACCTCCACATATATGGGAGTTCCAAGATCGGATTGACACCTGCCAAGGATTTTCACTTATTTGGCCATCCGAGCCTCCGAATATCCTACTATCCTGGGACAGCTGAAGACAAAAGACACCTACTTATTTCATCGCATGGCCAATGTGTTATTGAATAATGTTTTTTTCCCTATGACATAGGACTACACACTTGTTAATTTTAAAAGGGCAGATAGGATTTTGTGAAGATATGGATTAAAAAAGAGGTACGGACGGATATATATAATGAATGTCAGAATATATATTTAGGTGAAGTTAAGTGAAGGAATGGTATAGATGTGACCTGACGCGGTCAGGTGTAAGTGATGAGGGTACGTAATTAGTGTCCTAATCTGGTCATGTGTTAGTGAGGAAGGCGTGCAATATGTGTCTGAACAGGTGTTAATTTGTGACAATGTGTAATATTATGTGACTCGGCCAAGTCTTGTAATGATACCGTGTACGTACCTGTTCTACCTCTTTAGCGGCCTTGATCAGATCCTCGGAAGGATGTCTTGGTGCTAGGGCGCCATTGATCAGATCCTCGGAAGGATGTCTTGGTGCTGGGACGGCTTTGGGCACGGCCCATGACTCTGTGGATATACATGTTAGATCATATTTATAATTTTCAACAGATAAAAGAGACTTAGACTCATGGTTGAAATAGCTGAAAAAGACCCATATATTTTTTAAACGTAGTATTTACATTTGGCAGTTTAATGTATATGGGGGAATGATTACATTTTAAAAAGTAAATATACTAATTAAACGGTATTGGGTATGTCGTGACTTGCATGCCATGAAGCAGGTATAACTGAAGATGCAGTAAATATCCCTTTCAGATTATGTATTTACGTTAAAAAGATTCTGGTTATCGTCAGTGTATTTTTTTTATTAGATATTTAATCTGATAGCTACATTTATAAAAGCCTCGCCAATAAAACAATATTGACATAGCAGCACTCTCACGAGACTTAAGTATCCAGAGTATGCAAACATCGTTAAGAAGCGGAGAGGCATTTGTCATATGGTTTAGAATCAAAAGTTGTAATTACCAAAAATCACAACTTGATTTGTAGTTGAAATATGTATAAATAGTTTTTGCGGTTGCCTAGTAGACAATATTTTGTTCACACAGAGAACTGTTGACATGCTGAACAACCTACAACCGAATGTAGCGAACGCAAGGAAAATTTAAACAGTAAGAGTTCGAAATAGAGGAAGATTTAAAATATCAATCGATAAATCATTAATTGAAAGAAAAAGAAATATAGCAATGAAATATAAAATTACTTTTAATATAATGTATTTTTGTATCAATGGCTGACTATCAAAAGATTGTTACTTTTTCATGCATATTGTCAGTCATTATCTACTGAATAATGACTATCGTTTAAAAGGAAAAAAGTTGGTTTGTCATGTCTTATTGTATTGTTAAAAATGCTTTATCATGTCATGTGATGCTATTTTAGAAACAAAGAACGATCGTAAGTTTACAAAGTGTACATAGTTAACATGCAAAGTAAATTTATAATTAAGATTATGACTTACCAACGACAAGCAAGAGGCAAATGAGGAGAAGTACGTTCATCATTAACGTTCAACAATCAAGGTTGCTACCTGTGTGCAGTGCCGTTTGGTGGGCTTTCCTTTTATCCTATATGATCAATGGGCCCTACCTGGTCATATCATCCAGCATCTGTAATGTCCCACGTGTCTCCACACGTCGAGAGGTATACAACTGCCAAGCTTCCCCTCCACCTGACACGATTTGTGCCAATCATTAGCGGAACCTTCCACTTATTTTAATGTTAAGTACAATTGTTAAGGCGTGTCTTAAAGTTTCGAATAGATTTGTATTCACTGTATTTTTCTGACAGTAAATAAACAAAACCCTTGGTATGATACATGTAACTGGACAACACTGTTTTTAAAGTTATTATTTTTTCAATGAGATTATTTATACTGTAAAATCAAAGAAAACTGTAATTTACAAAAACTTGGAAACGAACTCAGTGCCTTTCCTTCTTATCCAAATATTCCATCCAACAATATTTAAATAAAATATAAGTTAAGTTAGGTTTAGTTTAAATACTGAAACAGGATCTATAAAAATCCTCTTCGTCAGACTAAATATCATAACACTGAAATATTTAGGGACAAAGCTCTCTGTAGACATGCTTAAAGTCGACACGATTAAAGTCGACACAATGTTTAGAGTTTTAATTCATAACAGTGATTATATAAGTTGTATAAGTTTACTTTTATAAGTGAGTTTATCATAAAACATTATCAAAACTGCCATTAAACGGGATCTTAGTAGAACATCGATACCTGTCGCAAACGAGAACAATTATTATACATTTTAATGTGATTGTTTAGATAAGAAGTAATCAAGTTGAGTTTCATGTACAATATACAACTATTTATTAGACGTACGCACGCATACATCAAACACGCACATAGGACAGTACAAGTACGATCAAAATATATACATGATACATTAAGTTTCCTAAATCAATACGTAAAACAACTAATGCCTCGTGTCCTGTCAAGGTCTCAACATGACATTTTGTGACACCAAATCGCCCAGCCGAGAACCAGCAACGATAGCTATTACACAACCACGATCGCCTTAAACAGGAAGTTAGGATCAAGGTACTCATAACATCAATAAACGATTTGTTACTATGATCATGTCGAGGTTACATGTACGTATACAAGGCTGATGGTCATTCCTACGTCAAAGGTTAATATCTTAGAATGGGTGGTGTTATGATAGTTGAAATCTTTGGTATTTGTCGAATAGATGATTTGCTGACATTACTGGGCAGTCGGTCATTTCACTGTCAAATCTTTTCAAAGGGTGGTTTCATTTCACATTTTTTTTTTTTATTGAATATTGCATCTTATACAAATTTCAAAAGGAATTGGGCAACAGGCGTATGCCTATACAAGCCCTCTCCTATGGTATGGACAATCTATATTACAATATATTTATTGTGAAATAATAAGTTTTGTTCTACATCTAGGACAGAAGTCAACGAAGTCAAAAAAATGGCATGGTTCAGGCATACGACCATAGGCTTAGCATGATTTGAACTTGAAGAAGGATTTCATTCACGCTGTCAGAGATTGGTGTTATGGTTGAAGTCTTTGGTATTTTTCAGCCAGGCGATTCACATTAACTAGCCGGGCAAACAGAACGCAGTCATCTCCAAAAACAATAGATCACATAGGGATCGTTGCCCCCCCCCCCCCCCCCCCCCCCCATCACACATCTGTGTGGTGTATTGTACATGAACTATTTTAATCAGGTCCAGTCTCAGTAAGCTCAAATACTTCCTAAAAAATCCATAAAATGTTTTCAATTCAATTAAATGTTTTATCAAAATACTCCAGAGTATCTGTATAATCTCTTACCTTATTCAGTTAGTGATTTCTATTTCAAAATACGTTACCACAGTCATTATAATGCATATTCCAACCTAACTTGGCTCTTTACATACGTAAATAAAGATTTGTTCCCCCCATGGGGAACCCCTGGAAAATCCACCAATCAGACGGCAGTATTCACGCACGTGATCACACACGAAGCCATGCTTCCCACTTCATAATTCCTTCAGCCTTCCGTGTTTACGGACGTGTTTTGGTTTCTTCTACGGGATTCCAACTGCTACTGGCGTTGTTTGTACCGATATATATTGTATCCTTTAATACTATATAACTTTATTTTGTTTTAATTTAGCGTTTTGCTTTATTTTGCGCCGTTTTGCGACCAGGCTCCGGCCATGTGTTCGCGTTTGACGGTTTGTTTACTTTGAGATGGAGACTCCTCCTTCTCAAAGGCGCTGTCCTGGGGGTCATTTATTTGAGGCTTCCGACCCCCACCCTTACTGTCCTAGCTGTCGGTCTTGCTCTCTGGAGCAGCCGTGTGGCATTTGCCGGGCCTGGCAGCCGACTCATGCCGGTGGTTCTCCCCGCCCGCGAGGGCGTGCAGGTAAGTCGGGTAGGAGGGGTAGGGGTGGGGCGAGGGATAAGGCTAGGCCTAAGCCCTCGGAGAACACCAGCTGAATTTTGACCTCTGTTGAGTCTTCCCTGGGGTTCGTTTCGGCGGTTTCGGCCCGTACCGGGGCCGTTGTGAAACAATTTGTTTCATTGGACCCGGACCTTTCTCTCACCCCCCCCCCCCCCCCTTCCGTTTTGTCGGTCGACGTGGGTGAGGGTTTGGGCTCTGTCCCGGTCACCACGGTGACTAGGGGACAGCGGGGCGGCCTTCTCTCCCAATTTGTGGTGGGAGGGCAGGTGGCCCAACATTCCTTTGGGAATGTTAAACAGGCCAGCCATGTTGTGTCCGCGGATGCTTTTGTTGGTAGCCTTCTGCCGGTCCGCTTCACTCCTGAGGGTGTTGGTGTCGGGGACCGGCCCCCGGCAGTTTTGTCTGCTCCCGGGGTTCCTTGCATCCCTGATGTAGCCACTGGCGTGGTGATAGCGTCTAGCACGCCATCCACCACTGGGCAGCATTTGCTGCCCGGTCCGGTGGTAAGTGATGCCTCGGCCTTGCTAGCCCCGGCTGGATTTTACGGTGGTGTGAGCACAGGTGTAAAAACCTATGATCCCAGCTCTATCCCTTGTGCCTCCTCCGCAGGTTTTCCTATGGTAGGTGCCAGCGCGGCTGCGTTTGGTTTTGCCGGTGCACGCTGCTCCCCTGGTATGGCTTGTTTTACTGGCCCTACTGTTTTTGGCCCTGCTGTAGGTCAGTCTGGGTGGTGTTGGTCAGGTCAGCCAGGTGTGGCTTCTGGCGGCGGGTGTGTAGGTGGCCCTA